CGGCTGAAGGCACCCAGCCAGGCCGGGGCACGTGCCCTCATCCTCTCACCCACCCGGGAGCTGGCCCTGCAGACCCTCAAGTTCACCAAGGAGGTACAGGGGACATGGGGGTGAGTGGGAACAACAGGGGCAATGGGTTTGGTTCTATATTCCACCGATATGTTTCTTCCTTACCCTGCAGCTGGGCAAGTTCACCGGTTTGAAGACAGCCCTGATCCTGGGAGGAGACAAGTAAGCTGTCCCCGTGTCCCCTCCAATCCCTGCTTCCCTGAGCCTCCCCAAAACCTGGTGAGGGGCTGAGCTGCCCAGTGCCACCCCAGTCTCTCCCCTCTCTCACAGGATGGAGGACCAGTTTGCTGCCCTGCATGAGAACCCCGACATGTGAGTAGGGCACAGGGAGGGGAGCCAGTGGGGAAATGGCCACTGGCCATCTGGAGCCATCACTGGTGTTTAGAGCCAGTGTGCCTGATGGGCATTCCTGGAGTTCCCTTGGAGCAACTTCCCATGGGACAACAGGGCCTCTATTGTGTCATCTTTGGGTTGGATTTGTAACTTGCTTCCAGGATGGTGTGGGGACACTGTCTCCCCCTCAGCCTGGTCCTGTCCCCACCTCTGTCCCCACAGAATCATAGCCACCCCTGGGCGCCTGGTGCACGTGGCAGTGGAGATGAAGCTGAAGCTGCACACCGTGGAGTACGTGGTGTTCGACGAGGCCGACAGGTCAGCAGGGCATCCCCAGGGCTGGCAGTGTCCCCACGTGTGTGAGAGGCCCAGGGAGGGGCCTGCCATGTCCCATATCCCCTCCCCTGCAGGCTCTTTGAGATGGGCTTTGCTGAGCAGCTCCAGGAGATCATTGCCCGGCTCCCAGATGGCCACCAGACCGTGCTGTTCTCTGCCACGCTGCCCAAGCTGCTCGTCGAGTTTGCCCGGGCTGGTGAGGAGCTGGGGGCAGGTGGCACTGGGGACGGGGACACAGCACAGTCCTGCAGCCAGGCCGAGCCCAGCACTGGGAAATCCAAGCTGGATTAATGCTGGGCCAGGTGGGTGTCCCCAGCAGCACATCCCGAGTGTGACCCGTGTCCTGTGTGCCACCACAGGCCTCACTGAGCCGATGCTGATCCGCCTGGATGTGGAGTCCAAGCTGAGTGAGCAGCTCAAGGTGAGATGGGCTGGGGGAGTTCAGGATGGGCTTTGTGCCCCCTACCCCCTGCAAGCCGCCTGCTCCTGAGGAGGGGACAAGGGTGGCAGTGGTGGCACAGGGCTGAGCACTGTCCCCATGCTGCAGCTGGTGTTCTTCCATGTGCGCGGGGACGACAAACCGGCCGTGCTGCTCCACCTGCTGCGCAGCGTGGTGAAGCCCCAGGACCAGACAGTTGTCTTTGTGGCCACCAAGCACCACACAGAGTATCTGAGGGAGGTAAGTGGCATTTGGGGGATGCCCATGTGGGGCCTGCAGCTGTGGCAGGTCCCTGATGGAATCTCTCCCTCTGTTTCACTGGGTTGAAGGAGAAATCCCATATGTGATCATGGAGGTGGTGCATCCCATTCACCCCTCAGAGAGAGGAGGGAGCACAGTGGGGTTTGGAGGCCCAGGTGGCCACTCTGAAGTGTCTGGCACTGTCTCTGCTGCAGCTACATCCATCCAATCTCTTTTCCCCCCTTCCCAGCTGCTGACAGCACAGGGCATCCACTGTACCCACATCTACAGCTCTCTGGACCAGACTGCCCGCAAGATCAACATTGCCAAGTTCTCCCAGGGCAAGTGCCCAGTGCTGCTGGTCACCGACGTGGCTGCCCGGGGGCTGGACATCCCCATGCTGGACAATGTCATCAACTTCAGCTTCCCTGCCAAGGGCAAGCTGTTCCTGCATCGTGTCGGTGCGTGCCACCACCCTCACTCTGTTGTGATATTGAGGGACAGACTGGGGACAAAGCAGTGTCAGTGTCCCTGATGTCCCAGCAGGACTGTAGGGCTTCCCCTTGCCCCTTTCCTAGCCACCCACAGCCCCTTGCCAGCTATGTCCCAGTGGTAAATGTCATGTGTGTAGACTGCCAGGGACACCAGGGAGTCCCTTGCCAGGCTGGGGCCAGGCTGGGCTGGCTGGGTATGGTTTCCCATTCTCCTCTTGCCCTTGCCAGGCCGTGTGGCCCGAGCTGGCCGGAGTGGCACTGCCTACTCGCTGGTGGCTCCTGACGAGATGCCCTACGTGTTCGACCTCCACCTCTTCCTGGGGCGCCCGCTCGTCCTCGCTGGAGCACAGGAGATGCCTGCTGGTGAGGGACGGCTGTGTGGCCACTGGGGTGTTATCCTTGGCCAGTGCTGCAATTTGTGGACTTGTGGTGGGCCCTCACAGAGAGGGGTGATGGGGAAGACGGGGTGTTGGTGGCTATAATACACCCTGTGTATCATACACCCTGTGTGTGGGGGATGCTGGCTGGGTGCCGAGCTCCCTGGAGCTGTCAGCTCTGCTCTGGTAAATCCAGGATGGGTGCTGGGGAGGTGACACGGTGTCCCCTGGGCTGCAGATGCTGGCGGGGTCCTGGGCCGTGTCCCCCAGAGCCTGGTGGATGATGAGGAATGCCTGCTGCTGACGGACCACGAGGGCTCCCTGGAGCTGCGCAGCCTCCGCCGCATCGCGGACAACGCCCACAAGCAGTACCTGCGCTCCCGGCCCGGCCCCTCGCCAGAGTCCATCAAGAGGGCCAAGGACCTGGACGTGTCCCAGCTGGGCATGCACCCCCTCTTCAGTGAGTGCTGAGGGGCTGCTGAGGGAGGGGACCCCGTTGCCCTCCCCAGGAGACTGATCTGTGCCCCTCTCCCTGCCTGCCTTCCCCAGGAGCTCGCTTCGAAGACACCGAGCTGCAGAGGTTGAAGTTGGTGGATAGCATTAAAACCTACAAGTCCAAGGCAGTGAGTTGAGACTCCTGGGGTGGGGTGGGATGGGATGGGCCCATGTGGCTCAGTGGGAATCATGCTCTGCCCTGGGAACAGACCATCTTTGAGATCAATGCCACATCCCGGACACCGGCCAGCACCGTGATGCGATCGAAGCGGCGCCACGACCATGCCCTGATCGAGAAGTTCCAGCGTGGGCAGCAGGAGAAGCGGGCAGCAGCACTTAAAGGGCAGGGGCTGTGCCCGGCCCCTCCTGAGCCCCAGGATGGGGAAGGAGAGCAGGAGGACCTCCAGGTAATGGGGTCATGGATGCAGGAACTGCTGCAGAGCTGCCTTGACCCAGTGCTGGCTGCACCAGGCCCCCAGATTTTGCTTGGGGGTTGATGCAGAGACGTGGGGGGATGTGGCTCCCAAACCCCTCCACTGTCCCCGTCCAGGATGTGTTCTCCAATGTGGGGGGCCAGAAGCGAAAACGGGGCAATGGAGGAGAAGAGGGTCCTAGGAAGAAGCCACAGCAGCCAGCACAGCAGGATGAGGACTTCTACATCCCATACCGGCCCAAGGACTTTGAGAGTGAGCGGGGGTAAGTCTGGGAGAGTTCCTGCTGCTGTCCCATCCCTGCTGTGTGGGGGCTGCTCTCATCACCCCCCTTTGCAGGCTGAGCGTGGGCGGCGAGGGCAGCGCCTTCGAGCAGCAGGCGGCCGGGGCCGTGCTGGATCTCATGGGCGACGAGAACCACAACCTCAACAAGAGCAAGCAGCTGCTTAAGTGGTGAGTGGGGTTTGCCCATGGGCTGGAGGGAGAATCAGGGCTGGGGGTGGCACTGCTCGGTCCCACCACCCTCGTGTGTCTCGCAGGGACCGCAAGAAGAAGCGCTTTGTGGGGCAGACGGGCCAGGAGGACAAGAAGAAAGTGCGGACAGAGAGCGGGCGCTACATCAGCAGCTCCTAC